AAGCCTGGCTATTTTTTGGTTGCAGCTGTCATTGGCGGGCCCGGGCTGGATTCGAACTCGCTGAGCCCCCCAAAAAATCTTAAAACTGTTTTCAGACATGCTGTCCTAATAAATTACTGGTATTGCTGTTGTAAAGTCACATAGTACTGTGTACAAGCATTATACACACATCTATACGCCACAGAACTTTAGCTGACAAGATCCTGTAATTTACTACTAGGTTAAGCAAACGAGCTGACAGGAATCAAGATCACCTCTGGTGAAAAGAAACCCAAACACAAAGTCAGACTCGGCACCTGTGGCTCAAGTGGCTAAGGTGACAGCCACATACACCTAAGGTGGTGGGTTTGAATCCAGCCTGGGCCGCCAAACAACAATGATGGATGCAACAAAAAATAGCCAGGCGTTGTGGCAGGTGCCTGTGGTCCCAGCTACTTGTGAGGCGGAGGCAGGAGACTCACTTGAGTCCAGGAGTTGGAGGTTGCTGTAAGTTGTGATGCCACAGCACTCTACCCAGGGGGACAGCTTGAGGCTCTGTCTCAAACCCCCTCCCCCCCGCTAAAAAAAACACCACAAAGTCAAAGAAACAGAACCATGTCAACTGAGTGTGAATTCTTTTTTCTCTATACACTGAAATGTCTGAGACCACGACAGCTGAGTGGCAGCCAGCACCGCCAGTCTCCAGATAGCAACTTCTCTAGCCTGGCTTCTCTGAGAAAGGAAAGGACAGCTCCTCGGGAGAGGCGTTGGTCCCTGGAGTGGGTCAGTAACTTTGTAAGACAAGTGCTGACACCTTTCAGGCCAGACAGCAAGGAGCCGGCCCCCACTGCTTGAGTCCTGTCAAGAAGACTCAAGAGCACACTGGATGGGACTCCCCTTACCCAAAGGTGTGCCAACTAGAACATGGAAAAGAATAACGCAACGGATTGAAACACATCAAACGTTAAAGCCTATGACTTCACAATAATGCAGGAGCTGGAAATGGAAGATGCTAGTCAATTCATTCATGATTCCAAAAACTGGGACATAAAAGGCAATCAAGAGATAGTCAAGGCTCGGCGTCTGTGGCTCAAGCTGCTAAGGCGCCAGCCATATACACCTAAGGTGGCGGGTTCGAATCCCCAGCCCGGCTCACCAAATAACAATGATGGCTGCAACCAAAAAATGGCCAGGTGTTGTGGTGGGCGCCTGTTGTCCCAGCTACTTGGGAGGCGGAGGCAGGAGACTCGCTTGAGCCCAGGAGTTGGAGGTTGCTATGAGCTGTGATGCCACGGCACTCTACCCAGGGGGGATAGCTTGAGGCTCCGTCTCAAAAAAAAAAAAAAAAAAAAAAAAAAGAGATAGTCGATCTTTCTTGTAAAAACGATTCCTCAGGGTAACCAAATACTTGATGAGAAAAAATAGTTTTCTTCTACAGAAAATTTCAACTAATAAACAATAAAATAACATATTGGAATATGGATTTAGGGAGTAAAGATAAACAACTAAGTAAAATCTGGAGGTGCACAAGTGACGAGAACTTCTGAACCCCTGGATCAGCCTTGACATTGTGGGGGGTCCAGCACAGCATGTGCAGAATCATTGCCAAAGGAGAAAAATTCAAATTTAGAACTTGATGAGACCGCTTACTATCAGTTTGTAAGATTTACAAAGCAGCAGCCCACTGATTAAACTACAAGGCCAAACTGAGGGGGCAGAACACTGCAGAGGAGAGACCAAAGACATACCCAGGCCGGGTGTGTGTGTGGAGCACAGCCCACCGCATCTGAATCTAAGAAGGAAAATGAGGGAAAGGTAATAGCCGGGTGTTGTGGAGGCAGAGGCACCTGTAGTCCCAGCTACTTGGGAGGCTGAGGCAAAAGAATCACTTGAACCCAAGAGCTTGAGGTTGCTGGGAGCTAAGACACCAAGGGCAACAATGTGACACTGTTTCTCCAAAAAGAAAAACCCAAAAAACTCCAAAATGCTGCAGTAAATAACTATGTACTTAAGCCTACAATTGTGCAAATATATCCATGGCTGAAATTCCTACAAGTTAGACACTGATAAATGCAGACTTACAGCCTGACACCCACACGTATATCAGTCCCTGGATAGTCACTAACAGCTAGAGACCGTGCTTTCCTCCTATACACAAACCTTCCTAGGTACTTGCCTCAAATGTGAGATACAAGAAATGGGATGGATGCATCTGCTCATTATAGGCATGAGCCGCCTTGCCCAGCTTCATTAAAAATAGTTCAAAGAGGGCAGCACCTGTGGCTCAAGTGGCTAAGGTGCCAGCCACATACACCTGAGCAGGCGGGTCCGAATCCAGCCTGGACCTGCCAAACAACAATGACGGCTGCAACCAAAAAATAGGCGGGTGTTATGGCGGGCGCCTGTAGTCTCCCAGTTACTTGGGAGGCAGAGGCAGGAGAATAGCTTGAGCCCAGGAGTTGGAGGTTGCTGTGAGCTGTGACTTCTGTGACATCACAGCACTATACCCAGGGCGACAGCTTGAGGCTCTGTCTCAAAAAAAAAAAAAAAAGTTCAAAGAATATTTAACATGAGGAAAAAAAATCCCAATGTTATGTTGACTAAAAAAAGCCTATAAAACTGAACACAGGAAAATTATATTAGAAAATTATGTACATCTGGCCAGGCATGGTGGCTCACACCTTTAAATCCTAGCTCTCTGGGAGGCTGAGGCAGGTAGATTGCTTGAGCTCACAAGTTTGAGATCAGCCTGAGCAAGAGCAAGACCCTGTCTCTACTAAAAATAGGAAACAACAGCAGGGCATCATGGCAGGTGACTGTAGTCCCAGCTACTAGGGAAGCTGAAACAGGAGGGTTGCTTGCAACCAAGAATTTGAGGTTGCTGTGAGCTTTGATGCCACCCACAGCACTCTACCCAGGATGACAGAGTGAGACTTTGTCACACACACACAAGCATTAACACACACTATATAATATAGATAGAAATATGAATAAAAGCAAAGAAACATAATAATGGTTAGAATGGGAGTGGCTATATTTTTCCTTATATTTAATCACAATGATCAATTTTTTGTGATGAAAACATTGCTTTTGTCTTTTTTTTTTTTTTTTTGAGACGGAGCCTCTAGCTATCCCCCTGGGTAGAGTGCCATGGC